GAGTGCGCTCGGAGGAGGAAAGGCGCCCGCCGTCCTCCCCCGGAGCTAGTCATCCCGAGTAACGACCCCCACCCCTGCCGAATTTCGGTGGGATCAGCGAATCGCCGCTTCGGGAATGTTATACAAGCAGGATTTACATATGAGAATATCAGCGGTCCGTGCCTCCTGTACTTGGTTTTTTTTATCTTTTTTATCCCGGCATTAAGCCCCAAGGGGGTTTTCAAGGACTCAGCTGACTGTTCCCAAATAATCTGCTGGGTAGCGCGCAGCTGGCAATGCAAGAAAGAAAGACGAAAAAAAAAAAAATCCCCTTTAGAGCCACCTCATCGATTTGGAAAGATGAGAGGGTCGAGTCGAGTTCAGGGTGAAGGAGAGAGACGTTTCTGGGAGGCTGAGGAGCCCGGGAGCCTTGGGCCCCTGTCTGGTCCAGCAACCTTGGGACTGGCACCCACCGATCCCGTCCTGGCGTCCCCCTCTGCCCTGTGAGGGTGCCCTGTGTGTCTCCTCCAGCTCCGGAATTCCAGCATTCTAACTTGAAATCTCAGTGGGACGTAAAGTAATTTTCATTAGAGACGTGCAGGAATTACTTCCAATGGCTTTTGGTAAAAATTAACTCAGAATTATCGAGTAGGAAATGGAACATAAGGGAGAAAAGACTGGGAGCACAGACATTTTGCGTTTCTTAAACATTTATCTTTGCGAATCGGTCAATATGTACATTTCAAATGTATCGTACAATATGTTTTCCAGAGTCGGCTCTCTGTTGCGTGTGATGTTAAGGAGTAAGTGAATTTGTCAGTAGCATTCAGAGGCTTTCTGGAAGGACGAAGATCAGTACTTGCAGCTGTATTCAAGCTGCACTGAGTTCCTTTATATTTAGGAACAGTCTCAGAGATTTCTACATCTCTTTCCAGATTCTTCTAAATGAGGTATAATCTGCATGCACGAATATGCGCACATCCCAACAGTACAGTTCCATTAGTGTTTATATGTGTATGTACCCACATACCCTTGGATATAGATATAGAACAATTCTAGCCCCGCCCCCTCTCAGTCAATATCCCCCAGAGGTAGCCTCGATTCTGACTTCTAATACCATGGCTTTGCCTGTTTTTGAACTGCGTGTAAACCAAATCATCCTGCATACTCCTTTAAATCCAGCTTCTTTTATTCAATATTGTGATTAGGAGATTCAATCTTGTTCTCAGTAGCAATGGTTTGTGTGTGGGGTGCGGGGGGGGGTGTGTTTTAACTGCTGAGTGCTCTTCCTAAATATGAATATACTCTACAATTTATTTACCCATTCTGTTGTTGAAGAACATCTAGGCTGTTTCCAATTTTGTATAATTAGGAGCGACACTGCTGTGAACATTCTTTTACGTGTTTTTGGTGGACCTAAACACTCATTTCTCTTAGGATGATGCCCACCAGTACAACTCCCAGATCCCAGGGAAAGGCATATATTCAATTCTGGTAGACACCATCAGTTTTCCGAAGTGGCCCTTCTGATTTAACACTCCCGCTGGCAGCTTTTGGAAGTTCCAGTTCCTCACATCTCTGCCACTCGCTGGTGTTACAGATTTTCTTGAATAAAGGAGCATAAAGTGAGAAACTGCATGGGATGACTTTAAACTATTTAAAAACTTTAAATTCCTTGAATCAGAAGATGTGATTCCCATTTCCCTTAGATTGTAAAGTTCTACCTCGTGAATACTGATGAAGCTTTCTGAGTAGGATTTAAAGATTGGAAACGTGCTTCCCATGGCTTCGTGGATACTGGGTACAAGGAGGGGGGATTCCAATAGTTCAAGAAGTACGATGCTGTCTCTTTCATTCGTGTCCGAAAAGTCGTGGTCAGAGCCTCGAATTACACATTTTATTGCCATCCGTTGCCCTTTCTGTTCTTTTTGCTTTATTTGCCTTCTTGTGAACTGTCAGCCTGAGGGGGGATGTTTCAGGAGCAGGTGGAGGCAGATGTGGATGCCGGGCAAAGACAGGTTTGGATTAGATGGGACACCAGACCTGATGGCCTGATGTTCAGGTCCCCTTTGATTCTAAAACTCTGGTTCTAATTGTTGCCGTCATACAAATTTAGATCGGCCGTTCGTTTCTTCTTGGGTACTTCGCGTCTACCCATAGTAAATCATCCTTTTAGGTTGACTTGTGAACTCTTTTCCTTCCATTAAAGAGTGGCTCTACTTTTTATAACAAAAAGGGCACTTTCAGGGATTCTTAGTTATTAGTCAAGGGAGCGTGTATGAGAAAGAAAAACATTTTTTTATTTGATAAACTTTTATTGAGCACTTATTTCCGTGCTGGGCACTAGGGGTATAAGGATGCCAGAGATCAAGGCTGGAGGAACTTATTACATATAAATAGCTAATTCTGTTCTTTTTAAGAAATGCTCGGTCAGTGCCTTTCCCCAGGAAAAGCCCTGCAGCACAAAGCTGGCTCTCAGATAAACCTTCCCACACAGTGGTTAAGGATCGCTATCTATAGATGAAAACATAGCATCCTTCAATGAAAGAAACTTTAACCAGGTTAGAATGGAAACCTCAAGACTTTTGTCCCCCAAAACTACTTAAACGTAGATATACTATATTTAATGGTTGTGGGAAAGAAACTGCTCTCGCATTGAAAATTAAACTAATGGACTGTTCCAGAGTTCAATATGGCCATGTTTTTGTTTTTTTTTTTTTTAATTTTTTTTTTTTCAACGTTTATTTATTTTTGGGACAGAGAGAGACAGAGCATGAACGGGGGAGGGGCAGAGAGAGAGGGAGACACAGAATCGGAAACAGGCTCCAGGCTCTGAGCCATCAGCCCAGAGCCCGACGCGGGGCTCGAACTCACGGACCGCGAGATCGTGACCTGGCTGAAGTCGGACGCTTAACCGACTGCGCCACCCAGGTGCCCCTCAATATGGCCATGTTTTAAGGCTTGAGAAGAAGACATTTTCTAAATGGTTCTTTGAACAAAGTGTATCGACCTCACTTTGCTCCCAGAGAACATCTTTGCTCCCTTGGGGAGCTCACAGGAAGGCTTAATGCCAGCACATTCTCCCCTGTCCTTTTTGTTCCTGTCATCTTGTCATTCTTGAACGAAACTAGGCAAGCAGCGTGACAAGAGCCCCTGACATTCAGTGTTCAAGGTAACAATCTTGCTGACTCTCTCCCACCTGACGCTGTCTTCATCTTTGGGTAAAGATTCTGATTTGACAAAAAGCAAAGAACTTCAAAAGTATGGTATTGTATCATTTTTCTTGATTTTGAAAGGGATCTTGCAGAGAATAGGAGTAAGAATTTGGAGAAGGGGGTATGAGGGGCTGAGAATTAGCTTAGCCTGCTTTATCATTTGCTTTCCTTGGGCTTGCCACCCTGCTCTAGCCTTCAAATAACAGACTCTTGTGAATCTCACTGTAGACATTTTGTCTGAGTAGAGTTTTTTGGCTTTCATCAGGTGACAGTGTGAACTTAAGATTTTTCCATGACTTCCAAAACAGCCTTAGCCACTTCTTAGCTAGGTAGCCATCGTCATGGGGCTAAAGCTTTTTCTCTCTTTTGGGGGCTATATGAGATTTACACTTAGGTGACTTCATTACATTTGGTTGATACCTCCTATGGCTTAGATGGGACACCGGACCTGGTGGTCTGATGTTCAGGTCCCCTTTGATTCTAATACCATCAGTGGTCCTCAAGTGGTAAAAGCCTTTGCAGAACTCATTGATGGTCGTTAATTTGAATCATGCAATTCTGTTCTATGGGTACCAACACATGTGGAGGAAATTTAAAAATAATATAAAGTACACACACACAGTGTTCTTTTGTGGCTAGAGGAATTGCATAAGATCCTAAAAGAGGAACTATTGTTATTTTTAAGGTTAAACAGTAAAACAT